CCGGACTACAGGTCCCCCCCCCCCGGACTACTGATACCCCCCCTGGACTACAGGTACCCTTCCCCCAGACTACAGGTACCCTCCCAAGACTACAGGTACATCCAGAATTACTGACGGACGCAGGGCACAAAAATGCGCTGCTCATTCGGAGCGGGTCCTTCTTCCATCTTTTCCCTCGGAATTGCCGCGAAGGTTCCGATCAAGCCGCCGACGTCGTCTTGAACGCCACCCGCCGCACCGTCGGCTACAACTTCCGACCCGAGCAGGACCGCCCACACGGCGTCGTTGGCCCCGCCGTGCCGCCCTTCAATCCGCCGCATGGGCTCGACTACGTGATCGGTACCACGGAGACATGGCAGGGCCGCGAGAAGCACGTCGTCATCACATGCTTCACCAGGCCCAACTCCCACCAGTCCTGTGGCCACGTGGACCAGGCCAGGCCGAGCGCATCTGCGTCCTCTGCCCTCGCGCCGAGCACTGCGCGACCTTGGTCCCCGACTCCGGGATGAAAGCGACGGCCTCTGACTCCCTACTGCCTGATCTCGTCCGGGTGGCGGCAAGAGCTAGTATTCAAGGGCAGGAAAAACGCCCCTACCCTGGTTTACGAGTCGCTGTGCTCTGAACCTCTGGGCTGACAGGGTAAACCCTGCGTGATGTGCCGCGTCCTGGCGGCTCTAGGCTTTGGGGGTTCCCAGGAGGTTTACAGACCACGCACTTGTAATCCAGGGTAGGGCCGTTTTTTCATCCCTCAAAGTATGGTCTGCCATGTCGAGTTCTGTACCGGCCAGGACCCCTGCCAACGGGGTAGCCGCCCCCGCAACCAGCGCGCCCGGATCCGACCGACCCCACCGCCGCGGCGGAGCGGGCCCCGGGCTCCCCTTTCCCCAGTGGTTGAGACCCGCGCCACCGCTCCTCGCAGTCCTGCCGCTGGCATGGAGGCTGGGTAGTCGAAGGCCAGACTGTCAGATTGGATTGGGCCCCAAGGGCCAATCTGGCCCGGCCAAACTGGATGATTTGGGTTATTCGCCAGACTGGATTCGCGTTGGCTCCCTCGCGAGATTGCCCCCGTTTGCCAGATTGGGCCTGCCAGATTGGCGCCAGATTGGCTTCGACTACCCAGGGAGTGGACCGACGCGTGCCGTACCATGCTCAACGATGCGCTCGGGAGGCTCGCTTCCAGCCCCGCCGTCGCTTCCGCTCTGTCGCACTTCGTCGCCATCTACGCCAGCCACAAGTACAACGCAGCCTCGTGCCCCACGCGCGTCCACGAGTGGGGCCTCAAGAACCACAGCCACCGCGGTGCTGCCGCGACCAGACGTGCGACATCGACCCCTATGAGGCCCCCCCCCTCACTTGGCTTCCCTGCGTGGGTCAGGTTCCTCGGGCTCTCCGCCGGCGACGCTGAGCAGGCTGGGCGCGAGGGGTCCATCGACAGCGGGAACTCAAGGCTGGGCCCGGGTTCCGGAGAGATCGCCGCGTGGCCCGGCCAGTGGCGCGAATCCAGGTTCTGTTTTTCGACGGCTGCACTTGCTTTCACACCGGCGATGGCCCCAGCGGGTCCAGCGCCGGTGATGACAATTGCCCTGCCCCGGACATCGCCCCGATCGGGGCGCGGCGCGCGCTGCGCCTCCGCGGCCCCGCGGTCGGACAGGCCTCAGGAGGCCTTCAGAGGTGCCCGCAGCGAATGGCGCCGCAGCCCCAGCATGAGATCCGGCTGCCTCCCCCCCGCCCTGCGCGACGCTGAGGCCGCCTCGGGCGTGGGCCTGCCGATCTTCGGCGCTGGCCGTGCTGCTGCCGTCTCCTCAGGCTCGCCTGCGCCCCGCGCCGGAGTGGGCCCCTGCCTGCCCGCCGCCGTCGCGCGCCTCGTCGTCCCTCTGCTGCGGGCCCTCGCCTTGGCAGCGCTGCGCCTGCCCCTGGCAGCCCGGGAGCAGCCGCGCTTGGTCCCTGCATCGACCCTCCGGGCCGACCGCGCGCCCCTCCTCTGCGGCCTCGCCCGGCGGTCTTGCCCTCAGCGCGGCGCCCAGGGTCCCCTCCCCTCGGCGGGCCCCATGCCCCTCTCCTGGACGGCCGCCGCCTCGCTCTGGCAGCTCGCCGCCCGCGCCGCTCTCTTCTTCGCGGCCCCCGCCGCTGCCTCGCAGCTCCAGCTCCTGCATTGCTTGCAGCGGCTGCGCTTGATCCCTGGGGTAGCCCTCTCAGGGTGGATCGCACGCCCCGCTGTCAGGAGGCCACATGCGAACCCCACCCCACCACCGCAGGATTTCGAAAGAGTGAGGTGGGGTAGGGTTCGCATGTGGCCTCCTGGCTGTGCCAGCCTCGCTCGGCGGTCTTCCCCTCAGCGCGGCGCCGGGGGCACCCTGCCCCTCGGGGGCGCCCCCATGGCTGCCCGCCGCCTCGCCCCAGGTGGCGCGCCGCTCGAGCTCCGCGGCCTGCAGGCTGCCCTGCCTCTCTCTCGCTGCGGGGCCTCTGCGGAGTTCCCGGGGCTGCCATCTCCAGGTTGAGCCCTCTGTGACGATCACGTCGGTGCACTCGCCTTTGAGGATTTTGGCGCCGCCTCGGCGGGCGCCCTCGTGGCCTCGATTGCCGCACCACCTCCTTGTGTCGCCTCTGGCGATCCACAGGGTGTTCACCCCATGTCGGTTGCGGTAGCTCGCGGGCCCCAGCTGCTGGCGCCTCGGTCCGTGCCGGCTCTCCCCGCTGGTGTGGCCCCCTCTTCGGGTGCGACCTCTTGCCGCCCCACCTCTTGCCCGCTGCCGCCTCCGCCCCCCCCGCCTCGCTGCCTAGCCGCTTTGGCCCGCTGCCTCGCCCGCCGCCCCAGCCCCAGCCGACCCGGCTCCCCTGCCTCGCCCGCCGCCCCGGCCTCCGTCGCCCTGGCTGCTGCCCTGCCACGGCCCCGTGAGGGGTCGACGGCCCTCGCGCGCGCCCGGCGTGCGAGGGTTGATGGCAGGCGAGTCGCCTGCCCGCTGGCGCTCGACAGTGTGTGTGTGTGTGGGTGTGTGTGGGTGTGTGGGTGTCCATATTCAATCGCTTCGCTCATTCCGCCGGCCCATCTTGCATCACTGGTGCTAGATGCTTGTGTGTTCTTGGCGAGCGAAGAGGAGGAGGAGGACGAGGAGGAGGAAGAGGAGGACGAAAAGGAGGAGGAGGAGGAGGAGGAGGAGGAGGAGGAGGAGGAGGAGGAGGAGGAGGAGCAGGAGGAGGAGGAGGAGGAGAATGATGAGGAGGAAGAGGGTTGGTGAGACGATAGGAGGCCTCTCGGGGGCCTCTTGGCAGTATTTCTGGGACCTCCTCGGGCGTCACGGGGGCCTCTTGGGGGCCTCTTGGGGGTCTCTTTGCGGCCTCGCGGGGGCCTCTTGGGGGCTTCTTCAGGGCCTCTTGGGGCCTCCAAGGGACCTCTCTGCGCCTAGAGCTCGAAATGTCCGTTCGGGTCCCCCGTCTGGGCCCGCTCTTGGAGTCGTCTTGGGAGCCTCTTCGGCCATCTTGAAGGCCTCTGGGGCTGTCTTGGGGCTCTCTGGGGCCCGTTTTGGGCGCTCTTGGAGCCTCTTGTGTCGTGTTGGGGCGATCCTGAAGCCTCTTGGGCCGCCTTGGAGCGCCGGTAAACCGAAAGGCGAGAACGCCAAAAACCTTCCAAAGGAAGTCACTAATTTCTGCCTGGTTGGGCCCTCTTGGGAGGTCTCTTGTAGGCCTCTTGGGGCGTCTTGAAGGCGCTTTGGGCTGTCTAGAGGCCATCTTAGGTGTCTTGGATCGCTCTTGGACCGCTTCGGGCCATGTCGAGTTCTCCTGGAGGCCACTTGAAGCGCTCCTGGAGCGCTCTTGGGAGCCTGCTGGGGCCTGGCCAGGACCTCGCTGGGACCTGCCTGGGACCCTGCCCGGGACCTGCCTGGGACCTTGCCGGGGTATTTTTCGCCCAGGGACCCCCGGGGGCGACCCCCCGCACGCGCGAATTAGAAATACTGTTTTCCAGTTACCCGAGCTTTTAGCACGCCCTTCGCCCGTTGGGCTGGCGAATTGCTCCCCCCATGTCGCACATTTGAGGTTCTTGTTATTCGTATGATGCCTGTGCCTCCAGAAAAGAGATGGGGATCCCTGCGTGGAGCATTTAGTGTGAGTGTTTCTTTGTTTATATATATATATATAACATGTTGTGAGTACGAGTGATATAGATATAGATATGTATATATAATATGTATTTTAAATAAGGTAGATGTATTTGTATACATATGTGGGCATACATCTCAGTACACATGTATATGTACAGTCGTGCATCTATCCTATATACATTTACGTGTGCACATATGTATAGTTTCACATATATATATATACACATCGGAATGTATGTTTGCTGTTGCCGCTCTCGGCTTCCAGGCGGCCCACTTCGGGCTCCTGGGGCCGTCAGAACACTGCCCCGGGGTGCAAGGATTGCCCAGGGCGGATCCTGGGGCGTGCAGGGTCTGGGGTCTGATGTTGAACGGGTCTGAGGTCCCCGTCGGCGGCGGCTGGGACGGCGGTGGCGGCGTCGTCGGCCGCGGCGGCGGGCGGAGGTAGCCTCGTTGTCGGCGGCGGCGGCGTCGTCGTCGTCGTCGTCGTTTTCCCTCTATTTCCTCCTCATCCTTGTCATCGTCGGGGACGGGGAGAGAAAATGGCCGACGTCACGAGAAGGTCCGCGGCAACTGTTCCTCGCAAGCCTCGACTTGGGCCTCTCGAGGCCTGTCCCGGGCCAGGGGGCCGTCTCGAAAGTATCCTGGCTGCTCTGCTGCGTTCTCCACCCTCTGCTCCCGGTCTCCTCCTGCCTGTCCCCCTCCAGCCTCTCCTCCTCGCTTCTTCGCCGTCCCCTCCTTCTCCTCCTCATCCCTCTCGTCCTCCTCGTCCTCCTGCTGTTCCTCCTCCCCCCCTGTCCCCTTTTGTTTCGCTTCCCGCCCCTTCTCCCCCCCTTTCCTCTTCTTTTTCCTCCCCCTTCTCCTCACCCTTCTCCTCCCCAGTCCTCCCCCTTCCTCCCTGGTCCTCCCTTCCTCCCCCCTTCTTCTTCTGCTCCCCCTCTTGCTCTCCCCTCCTGCTCCCCCCTCTTGCTCTCCCCGTCTTCTCCTCACAGTCATGCGGCCCGTCTCCGTAGCCCTCGTGGCTTTCGCGCGTTCGCAGCAGGCCACTTCGGATCAGGACGTTTTGCTGCTCCGTTCGAGGTCACGATGGAGAGCCGATCGGACAGGACGGAGGGGGGTATGCTTGACGATCGCTCGACAGCCCACGCAACTTCTGGCGAATTGCGCAGTGTGCCAAGTTGGGCAGCCACACAAAAGGTCACGATAGTAACCGCTCTCATGAGTGCAGGCTCCTTATCATCAATTCTCTTGCGAAGTAACCTCGGGCCCTGTGGCCTTCTCGGGATAATCATTGGCATTGTCGCTGCTGTGTTGGAAGGTCTGGTGGGCCTGTCCTCATTGCGCTGGGATCGTCGTATTTGGTCTCCGACTTGTTTCGTCGACAAGCACCATCGCAAGGTGGTGGTGCTGAAGGCAGTGTTGCTATGTGTTAGCATCGGAACGCTGTATCCCAGAGGGTTGCGCCATCCCGCCCCCCCCAATGCACCGTCGCAATCCCGCCAGGGCCCCAGACTGCAGCTGGGTTTCACCTGAGAAGTCGGATGGAGTCTGATGATCCATAACTTGCATCACATCTGCGAACAACAGGCGTAGAGGAGACTCGCGACGAAATTGTGTTCCTCGACTGCCTGGGCAGGGCACCACGACGGCGGGAGAAGGAGGAGGAGCATGAGGAGGAGAAGGAGGGGAGCGCAGGCTTGGAAGGAGGAAGGGCTAGATGGTGTGGAGAAGGATTGGCGGTGGCGAGCCCGGTGGGGAAGCGAGAGGGGGCAGGCCTTCTCAGAAGGCTGCGGGGCTTCTCAGGAACTCTCGCAAGGCCTGCCCCCTCTCACTTTCCCCTGGTCTCGCCGCCGAGGTTCGGGCGGAGGCGGGGCGGGGAGGGGGAGGAGTGCCACGATGAGCGCGTCGATCGAGGGGAGGGGCGAGAAGGGGGAAGGAACCTCACGAGGTCCACAATGCTTTGCCATCTGTGCGAGTCTCGTCCACGGCGACTGAAAGCTTCGACGCTCAGAGTCCAGCCTTTTACACCGTAGGTCTTCCTACGGTAGCCCGCTCATGGACTCCTGGCGGTCGCTTGCCTGCCTGCTTGGTCTCGTCAACAAATCGAGGAACTTGATGCAGGGCTCTAAATCAGAGCCCCTCGTCGGCTGTGCCGCGCCGGGGCTCCCGCCCGGGCGCGCTTGCACCCGGGCGCTCGGGGGCCCGCTTTTGGGCCGCCTCGGGGTCCCCACGGGATTTTTATGGGGTTCTCCTCTTTATGTTGCATTTTCTGGGAGGTCTGGGCCATCATCGGCGCCAGTATAGTCGTGGTCGAAAACTGACCTGATCCGGCTGAGTCCGGCTCAATTCCGCGAAATCCTGCCGAAGTTTGGTCTAATTCCAAGTTTATTTTGGCTCATTCTGTCTTAACGGCCCCTTAGTCTGGCGCAATGGCTCTTAATCGTTCCCAGGTAAACCTCACAGGGGGGCCTTCTCGGGGCCACTTGGGACGTTGTTGAATTCCTTCTGGGGCCCTCCTGGGCTAGCTCGGGGCCATCTTGAGGCCTCGAGGCCCTCCTGAGGTAGTGAGAGCGAGAATGCCAGAATCATTATAATGCAGTTGGTGTTTTAAGTTTTTGTGCTTCTTGGCACACTCCTTGGGAGGCTCCAGGGCCGCCTTGCTGTCACAACCGATCATGATTCCAAGAACTCGGGGTCAGGTTGGGTTATCGTGGAGGCCTCCTGTGTCTCTCTCAGATACCCGTCGGTTCTGTTCGAGGATATGTTGGGCAGTCTGGGGCAAATGTTCCGACCGTCCTGGGGATCTTGAGCCCGAGAGGTGCGCTGACGAGCTTGCGGCTCCCTGTAAACACCCCTCCCCAAACTGTGTTTGGATATCCAACGGTCAGGAGGGAACCAACGACAAGCAGACACAAGCAGTCGTCGATTCCCAGGAAAAGATCGGAAAACATGGGCAGAGGACAGGAAGTCGAACATCCAGGAAGTCGGGAAACATACGGGGAGTCCCGGGATCTCTGTCCACTTGTCTGCGCGTCCCTGGGCCACTTCCGCGAGGCCACGGGCGAGGCACCGCCGAGCTCCGCATGTGCACCCCTGCCGCCCCGGGTGGGCGGAGGCCGGCGGACACCTTGCAGGGGGAGGGCGTGGACATCGGCAGCCTGCCCCACCGGTTCGGCCGCGTCTACGGCCGCAACTGCACTCGTGCCGACTACGGCGGGGTGGACCCTTTCTGCATGAACGGCTGCCTGCGCTGTGGCCACGAGACGACCATCCTCCCCGGCCGCTGCGTGTATGCTTGCTCAGACTGCGTGGACGACGCGCTGTCTTTGGCCATTGCGGTCGGGCAGCAGTGCCCGGGACTGGGCCCCATGATCATGGGCACACAGGCCCAGGAGGCATACAGCGTCGTTTGTGCTCGCTACCTGGGGACGGGCAGGTGGTCGCGCAGTTTTCTTCGCTGGTCCTCGTGGGCCAACCTGGGAGTTCTGGCGGGCATCACTCGCGTCGACCTCACGCGAGCGTGGCGGAACTTGCCTCGTGCCGCTGCGGACGACACCGCAGGCCCGTGGCCAGCATCTCCAGACCTGGCGCGAGCGCCCCGCACGGCGGTCGTGATGGCCTTCCTGTGCTGGGCTCTGATGCAGACAGGGGCAGCTCTCTTGCTTGCATTCGGGCCTGGGGTGTTCTTTCTTCCCTTCGCAGGGGCCAGCTTCGAGGGAGCTCTTCCTTTCACCGGCTACAGGGAGTTCGATATGTTGTCCGAGATTACCTTCCCACTGGCCTGCTGTCTTCTAGCGTTTGGCCTTCTCGTCAATGAGCTCGCGCGAGCGACGCAGCGCGGTAGGTTCACTTCAGTGGATTCGCTGCACCGCGTTCCGTATTTCTCATGCCTCGCGATACTTGTCAACGTGCTCTATCTGTCCTGTCTGTTTATTCGCTACTACGGCAACTCGATCTCAAATCTTGTTGCGATGCACCTCTACGTCTACATGTACGGCGCTGCGATCGTGTACCTGGCTGTTGCTCTGCCCTACGCTGCGGTGCAGTGCCTCTGCTTCGCCCCTGCCGGCCTGCGCCCCGCGGGCTCCCTGGCCCTCCCGTGCCTGCACCTCGTGGGGCTCGCCTTCCTGGCCGAAGGCAACCTCGTCCCGGAGCTGCTCGCCCTGGTCTCGACCTCGGCCTGCCTGACCATGTCTGGAGGGCTCCAGAGGGGGTTTCCGGGGAGGGTTTTTTCCGGGAGGGGTCCCCCAGGGGCTTCGCGCCCTCTGTATTGACGAGGTTCCGAGGCCTCTGGGGGGCTCTCTGGAAAGCCCCCTCCCCCCAAACCCTTTTTGGAGCCCTCCAGCATGTGGGCGACCAGACGGGCACCGCAGGCGGATCGTGCCCTCGCTCCCAGGTCCAGCATCTCCCTGGAGGCGCCGCGCAGCCCTGCCAGGGCGCTCCGGCCCGGCTGAGGCCGAGGCTGGACGCCGTCGGCGCACCCAGCGCGCGCCCGCGGGGCGGGCAGGCGCGTGGCAGGCGCGCAGCGGCAGCGCGGAGAGGCGCAGTCTGGAGCCAGACGCCGTCGGCCACATCACCGGGACCGGTGCGCGCGGGGAGGCAGCGCGCAGCGGGAGCCCCGAGCAGCTGCTCGGCGTCGCGTCGCCGAGCCGGAGCCGCCTGGCAGGGCCGGGGGCAGGCGCGCGCCGGAGCAGCAGGCACCGCTGCTGCTGCTGCTGCCCGGCGAGGTGCCGGAGGCGAGGTTCGAGCTGGCTGGGCGTCGTGCCCGAGGGAGCAGAGGAAGCAGGGAGGTTGCGGGCGGAACGTCCGTCCAGGGCCAGCCTGCATGAGAGGTGCGCAGGTCGGTGGTCGGCTGTTGGGTGGCGGTTTGTGGCTGGTTGCACTGCTGGTGAGAGCGATCCCCGACGCGGCCTGACACTGCGGCGGGCAGCCGATCGGCGCGGCGGTGCGGCGTCGACGTCTTGCGCTGGGGGTCTCCGGAGCGAACGGCAGGCTGGGCCGCTGCCCCGAAAAAGGGAAGCCGTGGGAGGGGATGGTCCGTTACTTTGCATCCTCGGGGGACCTTTCCTGTCCTGTAAACGGCGTTTTTTTTTCGTATTCCGACGCGGGCTCGACGCGAATTGGCCGTGGATCGACACGGATTCGACACAGATTCGTGAAGGATGCGACGCGTTCGACGTGGATTCGACATGGATGTGACCTGCATGGCTGGCGCGATGGGACAGACGAGGTCCTCCAAGGATGCAAGATAGGGTTCGATGCCAGCGTTTGTACATATCCAGCGCCTAGGGAGCCGATTCCAGAGGACCTTCAGAGGGCAGTGGATATGGAGATATTCGGGCCCCAGGAGGCTCAACCAAAGTATGTATACCGATACTACCGCCCTGCGGGCGATAAGGAGGTTGGGGGGGGGATTGAGTTCAAATGCCCACCCTGACTGACCTCCAGCCTATCACCTTGATCTCATCTCTCTCTTTCTCTCTGTCTCTCGCTCTCTCTCTCTTTCTCTGTCTCTCTCTCTCTATCGCTCCTCTCTCTTTCTCCCTCTCTATCAGAGTCTCCCTCCACCACAATGATGATAGCGATGACGATGATATCCCACTATCTACCTATCCGTCGACCGACCTGTCGGTGAATCTCACTGTCGATCTCATTATCGACCTCAAAAGCAAAACGACAATCCCCGCCGCAGGCGCCGAAACACGATCTGTTGTCGGACACCCACAGGACAACCATCGGCACAACCACCAGACAACCATCAGGACAATCACAAGACAACCACGAGACAAACATCGCATACTAGGTAATCTCTGTGTCTCTCTCTCTCTCTCGCTCTCGCTCTCTTTCTATGTGTTTTTATATATGTATATGTATATATATATGTATGTATGTATGTATTTATGTATGCATGTATGTATGTATGTATGTATGTATGTATGTATGTATGTATGTATGTACGTATGCATGCATGCATGTATGTTTGTATGTATGTATGTATGTATGTATGTATGTATGTATGCATGCATGCATGCATGCATGCATGCATGCATGTATGTATGTATGTATGTATGTATGTATGTATATATATATGGTAGTTTTCACAACTGAGGGCTGAGCAGAGGCAACAGGTCGGACGTACTCATATATGGCTCGAAGTTTTTGGGGGCGCGCCTCTCCGCCACCTCCTCCACTGCGGATGCTCGGCGCCGTCCGCCTCGCCGCGCCGTGGCTGGGGCAGATCGGCGCGGCCTGGCTGGCGCGGCCGCCGGCGTGCCCATCTTGCCCGGCGTGCCCAGCGGTCGACGCCCGCTGCGAGCCGCGCTGCGGGGCTTGCCCGACCAGCCCGGCCTGCCCGGCCTGCCCGGCGCTGACCTGCGGCGCCTCGCCGGAGCTGTCGTGCCCGGCGTGCCCGGTGGCCCCGCACGCGGCGGCCGAGCCGGAGGCAGCTGGGCCCTGCCCCTCGCCCGCCTCGGCAGAGTGCCGGGGCTTCGGGGCCGGGTTCGCCCTTGGCCTGCTCGCCGGCGCGCTCGGTGGTGGCGGTGGTGGCCCTGCAGGCGCTGCGGCGGCTCGCGGGCTACGCCAGTGCGTGGCTGCGCTCGGGGCGTGACCTCGAGATCGACGGCCTGGGCGAGGAGGCCCGCGCACAGGTGAAGGTGCTGCGCCAGCGTGCCCTCGCTGCCCAGTGATGGCGGCTCCTGGTCCTCCAGCCCACTGCTCGCTCGCCGTCGCGGGCGTCGCCGTCGGGGACTTCCTCGGCATCCAATACAACATTGGTGGGAGGGCGCTCGTGCACGAGCGCGTCGTGGTCGCCCTGGACCCCGGCACCCCGGGCACAGCGGCGATCGTCACGGTCGACGGCGAAGAGTACGACGAGCAGGTGGTCGGCAACGCGGACGTGCTCCACTGGGACCTGCTGCCCGGCGGGGCGCCTGGCGGGGTCTTCCCATGGGCGCCGGCGGCGAGGTACTATCGCTTCAGGGCGATCCCCACGGTCGCGGCGCTCACCGCTGCCGCCGGCCGCGCCTGCGCCCGCCTTGGCCTCGCGGCGCCCGCTGGCCCCGTGGTGCCCAACGTCGCCGGGCGTGTCCCCGCTGTGGCAGCCCCTGCGGCGGCGCCTGCGGGCGCCTTAGCGCTGCCGGCGGGCGGTGCGCCAGGCCCGGAGGGCGGCGGGGTGGCCGCGCTCGTGGCTGCGCTCGGAGGTCCTGCGGGCGGCGCTGCTGGTGGCGCGCTCGCCCCGGCGCCAGCTCCAGTCGCTGCTGCAGCCGCACCGGCGGCTCTTGTCGCAGGGGGGGCCCCCGTGCCGCCTGCTGGGCTCGGCATGCTGGCCCCTGGGCCAGCCGGGCCTGCCGTGGCCGCCGCCCCCGGCGTCGCGCCGCCGGCCGCAGTGCCAGCGCCCGCGGGCGTGCCGGCTGGTGGCGCCCAGGCCGGCCCTGGCGGCGACGCCCGCATCTTCGCCGTCGTGAGGGACTTGCGAGGAGTGCGGCGTGCCGACTTCCGGGTCATGGTCTCCCAGATGGTCGAGTTCCCCTGGCCTGACTGGCCAGTGCGCGGACCGCGCGCGCTGCTGTGGGTGCTGCAGTACATGGCCCAGAGGTCGGGGACCCCGACGGCCCACCACCAGCGGTGGCTAGCTGAGACGGGGCTCGACCCTGAGTCGCCGGGGGTGGACATCCACCAGATGGGGTGCATGGTGCTGGAGTCGGCAGTGACCTACGACCAGGAGCACGCCACGAACCTGGCCCACCTCGAGCTCGTGGCCCGTTCAGTGCAGGTGCAGGAGGAGCGCTACCGCCAGCTGGTCACCCCGGGTGATGCCGGCGCGGCGGACCGCGCGGTCATGATGGGGTCGCAGGAGCTCGACGGGGCGGTGTGCGTCTGCCCGGACCTGCGCGACCACCTCGCGCAGGAGCTGCAGCGGGGGATGGCGGTGGCGAAGGAGAGGCGCAAGGCGCGAGAGGAGCGCGCCCTCGCCCAGGGCGTGCTCGGCCAGCCTGGTGCAGGGCGCGGGAGGGGGAGGCGCGGCGGCGGCCGCAGCGGCCGCGGCGGCGGGCCCAACGCCGCAGGGGGCGATGGTTGACTCGCCCCGGGGCGGATGGCCTGGCCAGCCGCCGCCCCCGTCCCCCTTGGCCCCTGCAGAGCCCGCCAACAGCGTGGGCTTCTCCCCTGGCGGCGCAGGGCGCCGGCGGCAGGACGACGACCGGCAGCGGGGCATCTTTCCGCTACCGCCGCTGGCTGCTGCTGACGTGGTGTCCCGCGTGTCAGGGACTCGGCGGCGGGCGCGGGCCGGCCATGCCCTCACGCACGCGTTGGACCGTGCCAATGCTGCCGTGCATGCTCTGAATGACCCCTACGGCGACCAGTCCTCGCCCGCGCCGACGCCGTCTGCCGGGCGGCGCTGTGCCGCCGCCCACATTTGGGACTCGGTCGCTGCTCTGGGCCCTGAGCCACCTGAGTATCGTGACGACGTCTCCGACAACAACGGGGCCCTGCGGGAGTTCCTTGCTGGGTCCGCGCTGTACCCTGACGGCGGCGGGCCCACCACTCCTTGCGTGCCAGACCTTGTCTCCTGGCCTGATGTGTCGCAGCCGCCCGCTCCGCTCCTTGGGCTGCTGGGCGAGCGTGACTCAGCCGCGCTGCGGGAGTGGAGGTGCCAAATGCTCCGCGAGCCCGAGGAGGCGCGGCAGCTGCGGGCGGAGGCCTGCCCGCACGGCCCGTGCACGGACCCTGCGCTGCTGCGCTCGCTGCCCGACTACGCCGCCTTCCTCAGCGCCATGATGGAGCGCAGCATGCTGACGTTTGCCCCGGCGCGAGGGCGCCGAGGCAACATGGGGATTTTCTTCGTGCCAAAGAAGAGTGGTCGTCTGAGGGTTATCTTCGACACGCGGCTCGCCAACTGCGCGATCGTCGATGCGCCTCGCACCCAGCTGCCGTCTGCGCCCGCCTGGGGGCGGCTCGAGACGGGCGACGTGCGGGTCTCCATCGCCTCGGCGGACCTGGACGTGGCCTTCTACCACGTGCGGGTCCCGGACGGGATGGAGGAGTTCTTCGTGCTGCCGCCCATCCCCGCCAAGCATCTCGCTCCGTACGGGGTCGCCGTGGACGGGGTGGAGGGCGAGTCGCTCCTGCTGCCCCAGGTGGTGGTGCTGCCGATGGGCTTCAGCTGGGCCTTGCACCTCTGCCAGACGGTGCTGGAGGCATCGCTGGGCCGCGCTGGTTTCCCTCAGAGTGACCTCATCCTTGACGGCCGCTGCGGCTGCCAGCTCACGAGCGACCTGGACTCGGTCGCGGGCGCCGGCTACGTGGACAACTACTTCGTCCTCGGCGGCTCTCCAAAGACTGTGAGCGAGCGGCTGCAGGCCATCACCGACGACCTGACGCGCCACGGGCTCACCGTGCACGAGCTCGAGGCGCCCTCCCAGGATCGCGACTTTCTGGGGCTATCGCTGCGCGAGGGGCGCTGGCTGAGCCTCAAGACGCGCAACATCTGGCGGTTGCGCGCGGCCATTCGCGCCACGTTCAGGAGGCAGGTCATCAGCGGCTTCCTGCTGCGCGTTCTGACCGGCCACGTCACCTGGGCGCTGCTGCTGCGCAGAGAGTTGCTGTGCATCCTCGGGGCCACCTACGCCTACGTCGAGGCCACTGGGCCAGTCGCGTCGCCGCTTTGGCCCGCGGTCCGTCATGAGCTCCAGCTAGTCCACGACCTGCTGCCGCTCTGTACCGTTGACCTTGGTGCCCCGTGGCACGGGCGGGTTGCTTGCGCGGACGCCTCGCCATTTGGGCTGGGCGTCGTCGCTCGTCGCGCCCCAAAGGACCGGGTGGGCACCATTGGGAGAGTCGCTGAAAAGTGGAGGTACAAGGTCGAGGGAGGTGCGCAGGCAAGGCGTAGGACGATCGGGATCAACGGTGATAACTCGTCCGAGCAGTTCGGGGGCCTCGAGGGCGACTTCGGGGTGAGTACTCAGCTCGTCAGGGATGGCGTCACCGAGGGCCTGCCGTTCGAGGGCGTCTT